TCTCCTGGCAGGTCCTGGAGGTTGTAGGACAGAGAGGTTTCACAACCAGACATCCGTTTTCACTATTGTTCTTATCAATGCTTTTCCCAGTAATACCCCTACCTCATACCACCACCTTGGGAAGACCAAATTTCAAATAGCCAGCAACCTAAAACTAGGGTGTTCACTTAATTCCTATGAATTGAAAATATCTGGATTCTCACACTGTCAGACAAACCAATTCCACCACCCGTGTTGATGACCTTGTCTTTCCAGAATGCAAGTCACCACCACTTCCCTGTGGCTCCCAGGTCATAAAGAGGCATCAATACCACTTGCCTCTCACTTGGAAGGAGGCAGTCCTGCAGAGAGAATAACCACAAATCACAGCAGCAGCTCTCCTGCCCCTAGACCCAACTCAAGTTCACCAAGGACTTTATTTTCCCTGGTTGACTGGGCAGAAAACCTGCAAAGCTTAATTTCTTACCATGCTTTCCCAGGAGGAAAAAAATCTCACCTAGATATGCTGTCAACTCGCATCTCTTATCTCACCCCAAAAACACTTAGGCAGGTTAAGCCTGGAAGAAAGAGAAAATATCAAAGGCTGCTTGTTTGATAAGGTCACATCTGTACTCCAGCAGCACCTGGTTACTGTGGGACACGTGGAGCTGGAAGCTGGGCTGGAGTGCAGGTTGCCCTGCCTAAGCACTGTTCTCTCAAGAAAAGCCAGAAAGGACAGGTTGTCACTAGCTCTGAACAAAATGCAAAGCCTACTGAGCAAAAACTGTTCTCATCTTGCAGTGAGCTCAAAGCTACCTAGCACTCACATTCAGTGGTTGTCTCACTGACCCCATCAGCTCAGCTCCCACTAGGGAGGGAAAGCCACAGCCCTGAGAATGGAAAGTCAGGTTAGCTGGGATTGTGGCTTTGGAAGGAGGTCCTGTTGGGCCAAAGGAGGTAAAGGTCTGAGACACTGCTCTGGAATGAGCCTGCAGCCTCCCACACTGGTCTGTTTAACAACAGCTTCAACTTTACCAGCTTCCATTTGATGAGTGCAGAAGTCAAGGTGTCCAAGGGATGGGATCTTTGGGAAAGCACTAGAAGATACTTGCCAGAGGGCTGGAAAAAGCATGAGGGTGCCATGGTCGCAGCAATGGGAAAGACTAAAGGACACATGAAATTTAAAAAGCTACCCACAACTCTAACATGTTGCTTTTCCTCAGTCTCATACTGGGGAAGTTCCTCAAAGGATGTAAATTAATAAACCTTGTTTGAAGCAGTACTAATTTACTTACAGTAAAGACCTGGCTTTCAAATTTTAGAGGCCTCCTGTAGGTGTTGCCCAGAAACCTGAATGTCAAGGACCACACTGGGAAGACCCCACTCAGCTCCCACTGCTCTGGCTTCAGAGAAAGAACTGAAACTCCTCCTATGTTCCAGGCCACTCAGCCCCTTCCTGCAGCTAACTGTTCTTTCCCCATTTGGATAGTCTAATTCTGGAGCAATACATGAGTCAGGACAGAGAGAAACACACTGGCAGAGCCCAAGGAGGATCAGGAAGAAGAAGAGTCATCCCAGGTCCCTACTGTCCCCATGGAACAGGCAGTGTAATGCTCCCAGAGGCAGAAGGGATGGGGTGGGAGGAAAGAAATGGGAGCAGTGTCCTGAGAGATGCAGAGTGCCATGAGTGGAGGGGAAAGAGAAGAGAGGCAAAGAATGCCACAGCCTTTTGGTTTTGCAGGGAGGGAAACACTGGTATTCTATAGTCATCACACATATACTTCCTGTCCCGACTGAAATGCATGACCTGTGACACACGCAAAGGTGGGCAGGAGATGCAAAAGCAGCAAAGGGATGTGTGCTCACTCAAAAATGCCCTGTACATTCTCCTCAGAGAACGTCTCATTCTCCTCAGAGAGCAGCTTTTGGCATGTTAAACCACCCCCAGGCCAGGGTCCATTTCCCTTCACAGCCTGCTCAGCGCTGGGAGCTGAGAATGTAAACCATCCCACCAAGATGTGCTCTCAACATCCAGCTCTTTCTATTTCCACTTCTTCCTCCCGTTTGGCTGAGACAGAGACAGACTGAGAAGGGTCAGACTTACCACATGAGCCCCAAGGCTCAATGTAAACAAGGGAGAAAAGTTCCCAGGGCTTGGGCTAGGGAGTGGGGAAAGGATAGACATGCCTCCTGAAATGTCAGAAGCTTGCCAGTCTTGTGACCTGAAATCAAGGCCATCAGGGCCTGCTCAGAGCTAATAGCAGTGTTTACTTGCATTTGAGCTAAGAGGCTGGCTTGGAAGCCTTAGGCAGTCACTGTTCTAGTTAACAAGAAAGGGTGCTCCTTACATGCACACTCTGGACACATCTGGCCAGCTGCTGCTCCTGGGCACTGCCATGTGGTTGAAGTCAAAGACAGAGCTCTGTGAGAAATAGTAACATCTATTTCTTTCATAACCTCCAACTCTGCTGGTAAAAGAGAAATGTAAGCTCTCTCTTGGGAGATGGAAGGGCAGAGTGATGCAGGTAGCACCCTGCATTACTCCTTGACCAGGTGTTATTTAGCAAAGCATGCTCAGCCTGTTTTCATAGGCTATATACTATAGCATTCTCTAAGTCAGTGCTTGGCAGATAGACTGCATGCGGACTGGAGTCCACAGTGCTGCCCTTAGCTCTGGAGTAACATCCCAGAAGAAAACAGCTTCTGGGAGACTCCACTGTCACAGCCTGCTTTGGAAGAAGATAGCCTCTGCCAGATCTTCATCACAGGCAGGACAGGAACCTTCACTGCACAGTGCACAGTTTGTCTGTCAGTGGATGGACCTAAGCAACAGCAGGAGAGTCCTTCGCCAGGATCAGCGTTCGGTTCACAGCAGTAAAGACATATCTGCATTTTGATACGAAGTTATCAAAGAGTCATTTCAATGACAGAGCAGGCTAAAGCAATGGCTGCTGTGTAGACATGGTTAGGCTGACTCCATTCAGTCACAGGTCTGTCTCTACACCAGAAACCCCAGCTATACCAGTGATACGAGAATGGCATTGCACTAGATTTGCTCTGTGGAGCTGGGATCAGACTCTAACCCCAGGCTTTTACACAGCTTTTTCATCATCTCCCCTCACCACCACTTAAATCCAACCCCAAGCACTGGAATAACCAAATAATATCAATTAAATTGCCTCAGAGGAAACAACATGTGCATTTTTACAGGGCTGAGCCAGAGCTCTGTTCTCGTGCTCCATGATGAAAGGAGTTCTTTAAGACACTTGCATTAAAAAGCAAATATTATAACTTCTTGCTTTTTTTTTCTTTGGAACCCAGAGCAGATAAGAGAGAATTTGTAATGTGGAATCAGAGGTGCCCCTTAAAACAAGAAATTAATGTATCTAGTCCTCAGCCAATATAGACTGGGTGGATCCTTCTTAAGGGTAGAAGAATGGTCTTGGCTTGGTGTTGGAACTGCAGCAGGAAAAGTCTGTGGTGGGACACAAGAGTAAAGAAAAAAATATATTAAACTTCTCCATCTTCCCATTAGGGAAGTGTTTCTGCACTGAGCATCTCTTCCCACTTTCTCAAACACCCTTCCACTGCCTAAAGAGTGGCAGTGTTTGTTGCACACACATGCACACACAAATCCCATGTGTTCTTACCATCCCATTTGAGACATGGCTTCCCAGACTGTATCAAGTACAAAGTGAAATCACCTGAAGAGTGTCGCTTTAAAAGCCATGGAAGTGCAGAGAGCAGCACCAGCAGCAGTCAATAGCAATTTCCACTGCCAGGTCGATACCATCTGATGGCTGTGTAGCTGTAAAGATTGTTTCACACACATATCAGGAGGTGGGCAGGGGCAGGAAAAGTGGAATTGGTTTTAATGATTGCAGGATTCAAAGTACTCCTGGCTCCCTCTCCCTCTTATTTCACAAGAAATACATGCACAAAGAGTCAGAAATCAAATTTCCAGCCCTGTCAGTTCCTATCACACCAGCTCCCCAGCTTGGACTCCTTCCCAGTTTGCCAGGGAAGCTTCTCCTAATCCACTGAGGAGTGCATTACCGGGAGACGGAGTTGCAGCCTGTGTCCAAACTTCCCTGCAGTTTCAGGTCATTAGCTCCACCAGTTTGGACACAGAGCTACAGCAGAAGCACAGCACTGAATTCAAACCCAAAGGGTTTCCACATGAGGTTAATTTGCACTATTTACCTCCCCACACAAGATCAGCATCTCATTTTGCTAGGTGCTGTATGGGCAGGGAATAGTAGGCAAGCACAAACAGCTCAACAGAAAAAAATAATAAAAAAAGGAGGGTACCCATTTTGCAGAGAAAATGTGTGAATGGCTATAGCCTAAAATATAATAGCACATTGTGTTTCTGTTGCCTCATAAAGTGCTTTTCAGACAGTGACTCCAGGGGGAACACATGAACAAACATGTCTTGGTCAATGTTAGGAGCATTGCGGTGGGATGAAGGAGGCCAGTTCTAAGCCCTGGGATTCCCAGGGCTGGCCCCACAGCCCCAGCTCTGCTCTTCGGCTCCTATAAACGTGCTGAAATACCAGTCACTGGTTCTGTTTCCCTTGCACTGTCTGCCTGCATGCCTCCTGCCTGAGGCATGGATTCTTTCTTACAGGGTTTCACTAGCTGGAGCTCTGATCTCTGCTAGGAAAACCTCTCAATTGCTCCTGCAGTAAATGAAAGCCAAGACTGTGTCTGCTCTTCAGAAAATAGAGAACATTAGTTTGATTCTTTGCCTTCTAATTCATTAACTCACCGACAGCTAAACACAAACTTTTCCCTCTCCATCACAAGAAGATGATTTTCCAAGAAGCTGAGCCCCCACCATTGTATCTCCTGACCCTTAGTGCCTGGGTACCAGGGTAGGAGCAGAGCTGGGTATCTTCCAGCATCTCTCTGTGACAACTGGGGCAAAGCAGCTCCCCCACAGTTCATCAGGTTATGCCAAGTAGATACAACCTACCTTCTCTGTTCCCCAGATCATTTCATAAAACACAAGTCACTGGTGTCTTACATGCTCATCATAGATTATTTTGACACCCTCATTTGGGCCTCATACAATAACTGAGATGCAAACACAGTAACTATAGGTGTATGCTGCCAGTGAGTCTTTCATCCCGTAGGATTCCCCATGAACCTGTAGATGTGTAACACACGTATACACACATCCTTGCTTCTTTTTCTCCCAGCCCCTAAATCATCAATCCTGATTTGCTGCAGCTTTTTTTTTTTTTTTTTTTTTTAACACATACACAAGCATTTTAGGGCCTGACCACCAGCTTGATTCTTTTATGGAAGGCGCAACACATATGCACAGTGGTTAGAAGCATGCTCCCAAACTCGGGGTCTCCAGAGTCCTTTCAGAGGCAGAAATGGCAGGTAACAGTATCCAAATCTTGAAGCCTGGAAACAGTGAAATGAGGTAAAGCTTCACTGCAAGGGCTGGAGAAACTTGAGAGGGGGAGGCTCCAATTAGTAGGGCTTGCTTAAGTTTTAAATCAACAGAAAACCAGCTGGGTTTCAGCCACCAGAGCCGCTATTGCTCTGGATCCAACTTCACAAGTAGTTTTTTCCCTGGGAGGAAATACAAAGAGAGGAATGAATAGAGGGGAAACACATAATTTCAATATTTTTAAACACAGCATCTTGCTGTTTCAGTTTGAAACACTCATGGTTTATACTTGCCCCTTTCAGAGGATCTGCCAGCTTTTCCCTGCGTGTGCTGTGCTCCATCCAGCAGTGCTGCCAGGAGACACAGGGAGGGTGACAAACACAGTGGAAGACGAACAAAGCCCAAGCTGTGAGATTATTGAAGCACGTTAGCTCAGCAAAGGAAGGTCAACACAATGCAGTGGACATCTGACCTTCTAAGGAAGCTGGCAAATAAACTCAATTTCTCTACATGCATGACAGTGATGCTGAGACCACTTGTGCCCTTCAGTCTGGCCAGCAGTGCAGGAGAACCTGCAGATAAAGGCTTGAACTTCAGAGTTGTTGAGGTCAGACAGGCTGCCAGCATCAAGTAAACCTACTACTGTGCAGGTGGAAGAGCTGTAGGAATTTCAGGTCAAGGTCTGCCTTGCCTGCAGAAACCACACATACATGCAAGGAGAGATCTCCTAAGCCTCATGGTGTCTCCTCAGTGAGTTCATAATTTTCTAATTAGTCACCAAACCAGCACCCACCACCCGTCTGCTCACGATAAACCAAAACATCACAAAACACTTGATACATTTAAAAAAAAAAAATCCTCAAATTAGTATTATTTTTGTGTTTTGGGTCACATTTTCAGGTTTCTGCAAAAATAAAGTGGAAAGCCCTTGTAATGGTGCAATTCCAGAGGCTGGGACATTAAATAAAATCCCCCACACTGGGAGATGCTCAAGGCAGTATCGAGCACAGCTTCTGCTTTGCCTGTGCTCAACCCTGCAAAAGACTGAAAGGGCTCTGTCTGCTCAGCAGTCAAAGAAAATCTTTGTCGTGATTTGATCTCAGATACCCACAGAGTGAAAATAGCTGAGATTGGCATGTTTGTTAGGCTCACAGGTAAAAAGCTCAGTAAGCAGCAAAACCCAAAATAAATAGTGAGGGTTGACAACACTGAGTGAGGGAACCTTGTATGGGAAATAAAAGACAATTTTGAACGGTGAGGGTAGTTAATCACCAGGTCCGGTTACCAAGGGAAATGGCAAATTCATCATCAGTCAAATGTTGTGCATAGAGACTGGATGTCTTCCAAAAAGCAGCACTCTGGTTCAGGATCAAGTTTTTCTGTTCAGGAGCATCTCTCAGAGGAGAATAACACCTTTCGTCATAGCCTCTGCAGGTGATGCTGGCCTGAGCTGCCAGGCAAGCAGATGAGGGCACAAGCGCTGCAAAGCCCTCACCCCACAGCCCAACCTCTCCCTCCAGCCTGGATCCCCCCAGTCGCATCAGGGCTGGTTTATGGGGCCCAGACAAGCGCCGAAACTTTGTAGTGACCATGGCCCTTCTCCAGACACCCTGCCTGAGCCACGATCCAAGTACCAGCCTCTGTCATGCTCAACCGCAGCATGGTGCTTCTGGCCACCATGGCAAAGCTGTGCCACCGACCTCCCTGCACCAGAGCACTGACTGCCCAAGGCAGCCAGGGAAGCATTATAATGATCTCTTTTTTTCCTTTACTTCTTTTGGTCTCTGTATCTGCCCCTTCCTTCCTTTAGCTGCCACACAAAACCAAACCCACAGTGCATACTCTGGCTCCCATTTCTTATTTCAGGCAGTTTCCTTGATGCCCAAGACACTGATTTGAACTAAACTCTCTCTCAGTGCCACCTTACCACCAACCCAGCTCCACATCCCTCCTTGGAAGCAGAAACAAAAATCCAGGGGCAAAGCAAAGTGGCCTTGGCATCCCTGATGTGCTCTAGGACCTTAATCTCCCAACCATCACATGGGAAAAAAGCAAAGTGGGTCAGGGTCTGACTTCCAGCTTTGATTGTGGACACAGAGAGCAAAATGCCAACTAGTGCATCATGATGTTGCTGTTCCTACACGGAAGTGACTCCCCAGATCACAAAGGGCAGAGCTGTGCTCTCTTTCCTCCTTTACCAGTCAATACAGCCAATTTAAACAGGTTTCAGAAGAAAGCAGGTGCCTGCAGCTCATGCTGCTTCCCTCACCCTTGTAAATCCAGTCTCTTGAGTGAATGGCTTGTTTGGAGAGAACCCTCCATTTGTTTGTCTGGGCTCTAGTGATAATAGCTCTAATTTATCTCTGAGCTGGGCAGGCATGTCTAATGTGTTTGAGTATTTAGAAGCATTACGGAGGTTTCATTTGGTCAATTGTTCCTTGAAATCCTTTCCCACACACAAAACAGCCCTGCAAAGGTGTAACCACTCCACTGCAGGCAACCCCAAGAGCCACAGCCTTTGCTGCCAGCCTGGGAGGGGCACCCATGCCAGGGCTGCTGGATTCATTGAAGGGAAGGCACAGCAATCCCGAGCTCTGTAGTAGCCAGCCTCGGAAATTAAAGACCAAGCAGCTGACCTTTGAAAGGGGCAATAACAAGATGGTCTGGAACGTGCCACTACACCTCCTCCTGCTTAGACCTTCCAAACCTGTTTGCTTTATCATCTGTCTCCTCCATGTAGACACACTCCATCTTATCTCAGACTTGATTAGGCAGGGTTAGCTTAGCATCTGCATTGGGAAATACAGCACAGTTGGCCAGCACATTGAATCTAATCTTAAACTAACCCTTCCTGCACTGCATTTCAGCTATAACTGGACACCAGCTGAAGACACTAGCTGCTAGGTCCCAGCAGAAGGGGTTAATCTGAGTCAGTGTCGGAGAACGGTGGGACCAGGCCACTGGTTGAACATACTGTCTGGCTACTGGGTTACTTACAGCCCAAGCTTAACACACTACTGCACATCACCTGTGCTGTGCTACCAGGCCTGTGCATGCTTCAGCCCGTGACAAATGCAAGGTCACGTGCTTTGGCTTAAATCACTTTCATGGAGGTTTCAGCAATTCTTTTCATGCCATTTCAGCTAATTTTAGCTGCGAGCTGAGAGGCCATTACAGAGGTTCAGCTGACTGGAGGCAATTTATCAGGTCACCCTGTTGGCGTTGGAGCTGGGTCCGACTCAGCTCTGCCCTCTCTGCTCTCCTTTATCCTAACACAGGAGCACAAGCATTGAGAACCAGACCTGTTGCACAGCACCTGCACACCCAGAGCAACTTAACAGAGTCAGCATAAGCAAGTCCACATCGCTCCCCATGTCTGTACTCCACGCCACCTCACACACCAAGGTGCAACTGGTGCCCCGCTGGAACATGCTGGACATCACACACCATTCCCCAGCCAGGAGGAAATGACGCTGCAGCTCCCCGGTTGCGACCACAGGGCTAATTTATGGAGGCCAAATGTAATTACTTACCCTGGCACACAGCCAGGACACCAAGGTTAACACCCTTGCTCTCCAAAGAGTGCCAGAGGAATGTTAGAGAGATGCTGCCAAGTCATTTTATATGCCTTGACTTCAGGTGTTGCAAACAGCAAGTTCTAGCAAAGGCCAGTCAGGAGAAAAAGGGCAGTCATGGAATTATTTAAAAAGCAAAATAAAAAAAAAGGGGGTTGTTTCCTGCTTGGCTGATTGGGTTTGTTATCTTAAACTTTACTGTGCTGCACTAAGGACCTCATTACATCAGCCCTGTAGAAAAGTTAGGGCTCTCAGATGCATCCTTCAGTTGCTTTGGAAAGTTTCAAGCCTTTCTTGGCCTTGCTAGGAAAATCTTATGAGGCCTTGAAAAACTTCATCTCTGTCCCTGAGCTCCCTGTCCCTCTGATGGCCTTGGCAGTGTCTGAGCTGTCATCTCCCGGAGCAGGGGCTGGCACAGACACCACATCTGTGCTGTGCTAGATGGAGTGAGTACTCGGCTCGACAGTCCTGCAGTGCTGGGAAAAGTTTCTCATTGCCCCATTTATTATTTTTACATGGGTTTTAAACAGATTGAAATAGCCCTTGTTAAAAATAAAAGCCACCAAATTTAGCCTTCCTTCCCTCTTCCCCGCCTCCTGTTTCCTGGAGTATTTGCAACAGGCAGCTGGCTGGGAGGTTTTTCCCCAGGGGTTTTGTCTGTAATTTATAAGGCTTTGATGAAAAATGCAAAAGAAAGGGAAAGAAAAAAAATACATCAACTTCCAGGTGACCTCTCTCCTTCTGCAGCAGCTTTGCTCCCTTACAGCAATGGGGCATTGCGGCAGCCATGGCTTCAGGGCCCACATCCAGTATCCTTTAGGGTCAATGCAAACCTGCCCTCTGCCTTCCCTGGCGATTATTTCCAACCCCCCTTGATGGATGTAGCAATGAGGGATACAGTTCCCTTCATCTAGAGTTTACTAGTTCAGAAAAAAATGTCACAAATTCCCACCTCTTAGCAGCACTGTGTTACTGTCAGGTGTCCCTGGAGCTTACTGGTCTGGAGGACTTCCCAAAAACTGTTAGCACAGGACCTTGAAAGATCTGGACTGCTGTCCCCTCCTGGTTTTAGGGCAAAACAAAGACAAAGTGCCACAAATACATCCATCCTGACTACCAGGATGAGAGCAAAGCTAGTCCCACAGCACCCAGAGCTGATGTGATCATTTCATATCTGCTGATGAATCAAAAAACCCAAATAAGTGAAAACCTCTCTGGCCTTCACCTTAGTAAACCCACACAGGAAAGGGCAAGGCGGAATGCCAGTCCCTTTACCCTCTGCGGGTCACCTTTCCAGCAGGAGAGCAAGGACAAGCACAGCTAGAACAGCAGCTGTGTGGCAGCAATCCTCTTTTACAGGGCTGCGATGGCTGCACCCTCTGCTCAGCCTGACATGGGGCTTGGGATGGTGCCTAATGTGGGAGCACTACTCGATGCTCCCTACTCCTGTAGGGGGGAATGCTGCAGCAGTGCATATGCATGTATTTATATACATACACATATGGGTACATACTACGGCATGCATACAGTGCATATTGAGATAAATAATATTTTGAGAACAAATATTTCATTTGAAAAGTCACTGTATGACAACAAGTTAATTATCTATCATATCATCTCTCAAACCCAAACATTTTGAAAGCTAGGAAATATCTAATTAAGATCATCATAAATCTTACTCTGTCTTACAAGCCCATTTTCCTAAGAAATATATATTTCATCACAATGCAACATCCAAAACTCTGACCTATAAGATATTAATGACTAGTTCACATGGTTTCTCTATCTAAACACCTTCTTGCAGAGGTTACCATGAGGTAGCACAGGATAATTATTTGGTAATGCTTTCCTGGCAACTTGACTTGCAATAAATCTGTAGACAGAGAGTTAAGAGAAAAAAACCACACACCAGTACTGGGATCCTCTTGCCTAGCACAAGACTTCCTCAGATCCATTTTGCGTTGAACCAGGACAAATCTTATAAATGAATATAATTTACTGCTCCCAGTTAAAGGCTCCTCATCCAGACAACTGGTCCTAAAAAGCTTCTTATACCCAGGCCTCTACCCATTCCTGGGGTTTTCCTCTGATGCCCATTTAGCCACAGGTTTGGTGAACAGCTAGCCATTTCTAGAAGACAATTTTCGTTTGATCCTGGATAGATAAATCAAGCTCACTGAAGAAGATGCCCAAAGCTAGGCCAGAACTACAATGCTATTAACATGCTCAACATGACTGAAGAGCTTAAGGATTTGAACATGGAGGAAATTTCAGATTTTTTTTAATTAGAGTGTGAAACTTTAATGGTGGGGCAACCATTCAAGTGAGGCTTTGAGCCTGAAACCATGTTTAATAGGAAAAAGGTGTTCAAACTTAGCATCAGGACTACAAAGAAAAAAAGGATGAGGTGGAAGAGATCAGGAAAGGAAGACACATCTGGAAATCAAGAAATACAGGAACAAGATGAAACTTGGCAGGACTCAGGCAGAGTTAGACCTTGAAGGGGAGACAGAAACACAGCAAAAAGGGATATCATTATAAAAGGAGAGCAAGGGACAAAGTACAGCTGCTCTTCACTCCTGGTGGAAGGTCTGTGTTAGGGCAGTTTGGACATGGCCTCAAAACCAAATTAATGCTCAGTACCTGGTAGGGGCAAAGACAAGTAAAGCACATGTAGAAATGGCAGAGATTCTCATACGTGTGATGGTCCAGAGCCGAGGGAGGCAGATACTCCACACAGGCCATCACTCAGAGAGCCAGCATCCTGGAGCCTCCCTCCGTGGCTGCAGGGTAGGAGATGCAGCACGTCCATTCAGCTCTGCAAACCCAGTGGGCTGATCTCATAGTCTGCAAAACCTCAAAACAAGTTTTGAAGCTGGGATCATTTGGGACTCAGAGCTCTCTACAGGGAAAATGAGCCAAAATGCAACATGGCTCTTGCACATTTGGGTCTTGGTGGGAAAATACCCAAACCAGCTTTCTAGATGAAATGGAGAGGTTCAGCTGGAAGGCACTGAATAGTGCCTCATGGGACACATCCTGTTGTCGTGGGAGGATGGGGATCATGGAACAAGTGACTGGGAAGCAAAGTGGGGTAGAGCAGGGTTAGGCTGAAAGACTTTAGAAGTGCCCCACAAGGTCATGTGCTTCTGTTGGGCATGAAGAGCCACCTCCAGCCCAGCCCTGCCAAACAGCAATCTACCTCCATGTCCCTGAGCCAGGGCTATGGCAGGAGCAGAAACCCTGGCCTCGGGATAGAGCAGGCTTTGATACAGTCTATGGTGGGAATTCAAACAGGTCTGAACATAATGCTAAATATAAGGAGGCTCTTACACTGATGAAGCAGGCCCTGATTTTGTGACGGACATTTGCAACTGAATTTAAGCTAAAGGAAAAAAAGGCCCTTTTTATACTGGAATTAAGGTGTCTAGACAGAGTCTTCCTGGTGTAACTTGATCTGCATATACTGATCACGATACACCTGATAAAACTTCCCATGTAGACAGGGACTAGGAAATACTCTAGCAGAAATTCCAGCAGGAGCCATTTTAAAAGTCTTTAATCTCGAGAATTACTTATGCTATGTAATGAAGCCTGCATTATGGCTGTGCATTACATAGACCCTAAACACTGAAAAGCAAGAGGATTTTCTTTGGCTTTATGGCAGGAATCCACAGCGTAGATAAGGCTGGCCCTCAGCGTGAGGTTGTATCTCCCTCTAGCTGCTGGTCCTGGGGACTCAGCAGCCTTTGACCACCCAATGCCCGTACAAACTCCCCTCTGACCTCTCCTACATGCCAGAGCTTCCAATGATGCAGGTCTTGGGGTCGCTTCTTGCTGGCTGCAGTGTTCCTCCAAGGAGTGCAAAATAGCTCAATTTTTTGAGAGGAGATACTCCAAAAGGGAAGAGGGGAGGCCAAGAGTAAAAACCACAAGGTTGATGGCTTCTTCAAAATAAGGCAGCATAGATTAGTCAATGTGGCATGCAGAGAGCCCAAGGCCCTCTGCAGAGGAGATATCCTACAGCCAAGACACTGGTAGCTTATGCTCCCTCTTATCCCAGCTAAATCCTCAAAAGACCTTCTAG